TTTTTTTATTATTTTTTTTTTCAAAATATCTTCTTTTGTGTTCTGCAGAAGAAATCAATCATAGAGGTTTGGAATGACATGAGTGAGTAAATGATGACAGAATTATTATTTTTGGGTGTACACAGGTTAGAAATTTTATGACTTTTAAAGTACAACTCTAGCAGATTTATTGAATATTCTGGTTCCAACAACCAATAGAACTTGTGTTATTTTAGTATTATTTATATGCTATATTCTTTATTATATTATTATTTTTTAATATTTTCAATTTTCATTTTAATATTAGTTTAAGTTTTAGTAATTTGATGTTTCTGTTATTTCATTACTTTTTGTAAATATTTCTATTTAGCTTTAATTTATTTTTATTCCATTTTTAATTGTAGTAATTGTTATAGCAACATAAAAGTACTTCTCATTTAAATTTTTCATCTAATATTTATATATTCTTTGATATTTCAGCTTTATTTCTATTATCAAAAACCTTTTTTAATAGTTCTATTAATAGTTAATGATAACAACACTGGAGTAGATGCCATTTTTAAATTTTTACATTTACATTTAGTCATTTAGCAGACTAAATGTAAATGTAAAATTTACAAATTTGACATTTTTAAGAGTGAAAATGAGACTGTGTGGGACAAATGCACATCGAACTTTCACAAAGCATGTTTATCAGAGCCTTCTGTCATCAGGAATTGTCAGCAGAACGATCAACAGCAAAGATAAAATCAGTTGGACAAACGTCTAACCCTCACAGCCTCATTTACATTCCCAAGAAATTAAGTAAATTAAATCCATTCCACCACAGAGTTGCGATAATGTGGAAAAAGTGCACATAAGACCAGTGTTTCCCAAAGAGCATCACAACAAGACAACATCGCTCACATTTGAATCAACATTACGTCAAAATGTAATGTTGATTAGAATAAATAAAAAAGTTATTATTAATATTTTCCTCTTCCATGCAGATATGTGATGTTAATTGCATTGCAGAGCCCTTGCTGTCAATGGGATTCCAGCTTCTTTTCATAAATAAATGTTATTTTGTGAAATTGAGAGTTGATCACAGAATAGTAACGAAGGGGAATGTATGCTCAAAACCTCTGAATTTAATGTTTCAACACTGCAGACATGTTTAAAAAAAACAAACCTGTCAGTGTACAAATCCTTTAAAAGTACAGATTTATAGCACCATCTATTGGTAAAAGCACACATCAGATCTGCCATGGCCTGAGCAACAGGTGTTCAGCACCCGGAAAAAATACAAAGCCATCAAATAAACAGTCAGCAGCGCCCCCTTTTGTCAAAAACAGGAAGTGGTATTAAGATGACAACAAAAAAATCTGCTCTGGTAAGACAGACTCATCTGAAAACTGAGACAGTTCTTACATACTCATCATGTACAGATTTATTTATGATTCAATAATTTTACTAAAGGCAGAGTTAGAGTAATACATTAGAAGTATGTTACTTTAACATTACGGCTGGAAAGTAAAATGTTTGCTTTTTGAATTTACACCATAATACAGGAGCTACTTTTTAAGTAAAATATGTGACCCTGGAGCACAAAAGCAGTCTTAAGTCGCTGGGGTATATTTGTAGCAATAGCCAAAAATACATTGTATGGGTCAAAATTATTATTATTTTTCTTTTATGCCAAAAATCATTAGGATATTAAGTAAAGATCATGTTATGAAGATATTTTGTAAATTTCCTACTGTAAATATATTAAAACTTAATTTTTGATTAGTAATATGCATTGCTAAGAACTTAATTTGGACCAATTTAAAGGCAATTTTCTCAATATTTAGATTTTTTTGCACCCTCAGATTCCAGGTTTTCAAATAGTTGTATCTCGGCCAAATATTGTCCCGTCCTAACAAACCACACATCAATGGAAAGCATATTTAAGCTTTCAGATGATGTATAAATCTCAATTTAAAAAAATGTACCCTTATGACTGGTTTTTGTGGTCCAGGGTCACATATTATTTAATCTATTTATTAACAAATGCAACTGAAAACCTCTCCGTTCCCCAAATCCTAGTCAGGCTGGTTTACATCAGGGTTATTATTATGTTAACTAAAACTAGAACTAAAACTATTAAAACATTTTGGTTAATTGAAGTAAAGCTGAAATAAAATAAAAAATAAATATTAAAATGGAAAACCTAAACTTATTTCAGTTCAAATTTCAAGTTTCAAATGAAAAAAAAAAACTTAAATAAAAATAAACCTAAATAGTAGTTTTTAGTAAAAAAAAAAAAAAAAAACTCCCATAACAAAATTACCAAAATGTAAATAAATTCAAAGTAAAACTAAAAAAATAAAGTGAACGCCAATTCAAATTATTAATAAAAACTCTAATGGTATATAAACAATATTAGAATAATGCTGCCCTGCCTAAATTGCAAGAAAGCAATGCAACAAAACTAGATCACTCTCATAACCGAAGATAAAACATGAAAAAAGTAGGACTGCAAGCCAAAAAGTAACACTTTGTATTAAAAGTAACAGTTAGTTACCTGTATTCCAGAGGTGGTGAAATAAGGAATCTCAAACTTGACACTGATTGGTGGTTTTCCCTCCTTGTCCTCTGCCTCAACGCTGGGCAGCCCGAAATGAGCCCTCATCAGGTACTCCTTCCCTCCCTGAAACAGAGAGAACACACTCGTAAGCTTCTGCTAACATTACTTTCACTCTTTTAGCTCGTAGATTTATTATCATGATTGAACAGTGACGTTTTCTTACAGGGAAGGATTTGATGGACCAAACAATCTCGCTGTTCTCCGGCACCCACTTCACGCTGCCCACCGTGGTCTTAAACTTGGGCGTGTCTGCGTCGGTCGGCACTGGAATGTGAATCTCCACGTTGTTGGCAGTGGAGCGTCGCTTAAACTGAGACTTGGCCTACGGTAAAACAGACGAGACACGAGGGTCAATTTAGATGCTCATATAAAATCAAACTGAAGTCCACATGGATGGAGGTGTTCTCACTTTGATCATATACTCGATTCTGCTGTGCGAATGCTTCTCGATCACAGACTCGATCCAGATCAGCGGCTTCACCTGTTCACACAGAAAACCAAATCCCATCAGAACCAAACCCCAGGCAACAGCATACGAAAAGTATAAATTGACCAGTGTTATTTTAGTAGTACTTACATACTATTATTAATTTTTATTAATATTTTGAATTAGCATATTTTGAATTAATTTTAGTTAAATTTTCATAATTGCATGTACTTTTTCCATTGTCATTGCTATTATATTATTACATTATTTTATTTAAATTATTTTAATAAATAAAATAATAGTTTTATTAATCTTTTTTTATCTTAATCGTTACATTAATCACCAAATTTTACATTTATTTTAAAATAAATACATGTATTATTTATTTACAATATTATTATTTAGGTTTAATTTACTAAGCTTTAGTTTTAATATATTTTATTTCTAGTTAGCAATTTTAGTGCTTTAACTTTAAACAAAAATTAGAAAATTTGCCCTGGCAATTAACTGAACTTTACGTTTTTATTCTAATATTTATATTTTATTTTATTTCAGTATTATATTAACATTATACTTTGTATTTTTATAATATATAATATATTTATATATTATATTTTTAACCTAATATTAATATTTTCAGTATATTTATTTATATTTTTTTAAATTATATTTTATTATAGTATATTTTATTTCAATCAAAAACATGTTTTAATAGTTGTAGTTAACAATATTACCCTAGAATTTACATGGTGTTCTTTTGAATTAACATTTTATAATGTAATATTTCTTTTCAGTTTTTGTTTATATTTTTTGTTTATTATTTTTAATAATTTTATGTCGTTTTAGCTTTTTTATTAGTTTTTTTTAATATATGATTATATTATTTTACTTACAATTATTTTAATAAAAAAATATAAGTTCTATAATTTTTTTTATCTTAATCTTTAAATTTGATATTTATTTTAAAATAAATAAACATTATTAATTTACAATATTATTATTTAGGTTTAATTTACAACTTTAGTTGTAATTTATTATTTCCTTTTCATTTATTTATTTATTTATTTTTTAATTTATTAATTTACTGAAGTTAGTTTTTTTATTTTTTAATCTTACGTAAATAAATTATTTTTTAAATTTTATTTCAGTATTATATTTACATTTCACTTTGTATTTCTATATTATATTATATTTTTACACATTATAATTTATATTTATATTATAATTAAGTATAAGAGTATATTTGTTATTTTTAAATATAAGTATGAATGAGCTTAGACACTCACGTGTGTGTTGAGGCGGTAGGACATCAGCTCAAACTCTCCGTCCGGAGGGATGAAGGAGATTGTTCGATCGTTCTCAAATCGAGACAGACGCACACACTGATGAAACTTCACATCCTCCAGCTCCACTGACTTACTCTTACCACCTGAAGAAGAGAGATATGACTGAACAAACGGCTACAACACCACACCTCAGGAGTACTTCAGCATACAGATGAGCTCAAAACAAATCCACATGAAATCAGAGGCATAAAACTCGTTCCGTATGGGGACAGAAAATTGAGGAAATAGACTCACGGCCGGTGTTCTCAAACAGAACCTTGTCATTCAGACCCAAACGCAGCTCTGGCATTCCTGAGAGGAACACTCTCATCTTAATGGAGCCAACGATCTCGCTGCAAAGGACGTTACCGTTCGCGCTGACCTGCAGAGAAATCAGCAGCCATGAATCCGGCATGACAAACACTTCAATTACAATGACATATATAGACACATACTCAATCAAAAGTAATAAAAAAAAAATTTAAAAAAACAGAATTCAGTGTAAAAAAAAAAACACTTTAAATGATTATTTATTTTTTTTGTTATTTATTAATTTATTTTACTACTATAGTAATTATAATAATAAATTAATACAGTTCATTAGTGTAATAATTTTTTGTAATTTTATAATGTGGCTCATCCAGTCAGATTTTAAAGCCAGAAGTACATGTTTCGTAATTAACAAATTAAATAATTAGTTAATAGGGCTGCTTAATTATGGCAAAAATAATAATCACGATTATTTTGGTCAATATTGAGATACTCGTTGGCTTTTGAACCATCATGCATTTATTGAAATTTGAAAGTAATATCCTTCAACTTACATTAAACATAATTCAACAAAAAAAAAAAATATATATCTATCTATCTATCATTTTTTAAAACATTTTTATATACTTATCAAATTAAATATTAAGTAAATTCCAAGGTAATATGTGTCCCTGGAGCACAAAAGCAGTCTTAAGTCGCTGGGGGATATTTGTAGCAATAGCCAAAAATACATTGTATGGGTCAAAATTATTGATTTTTATTTTATGCCAAAAATCATTAGGATATTAAGTAAAGATCATGTTCCATGAAGATATTTTGTAAATTTCCTACTGTAAATATATTAAA